AGGAGGAGGAGGAGGAGGACGATGAGGAGAAGGACGAGGAGGAGGAGGATGAGGAGGATCATGATGATGAGGAGGAGGACGAGGAGGAGGAGGAGGACGAGGAGAGGAGGAGGAGGAGAGAGGAGAGGAGGAGAGGCGGAGGAGGATAAAGAGAACGCTGATGAGGACGAGGGGGAGGAGACGGAGGCGGATGAGGAAGCTGAGGCAGAGAGGCGGGGGGGAGGCGGGGGGCGAGGAGGAGGAGGAAGATGAGAAGGCGGAGGAGGAGGAGCAGGATGAGGAGGAGGAGGAGGAGGAGACGAGGAGGAGGAGGATGCCGAGGACGAGGAGGAGGAGGAGGAGGAGAATATGGAGGATGAGGAGGAGGAGGAGGAAGAGGAGGAGGAGGAGCAGGAGGAGGAGGAGGATGAAGATGAGGAGCAGGAGCACGAACAGGACCAGGACAGGAGCAGGAACAGGAGGAGGAGGATGAGGACGATGAGGCAGGGGAGGAGGCGGAGCGGAGGAGGAGGAGCGGAGGAGGAGGAGGAGGGAGGAGGAGGATGAGGAGGAGGAGAAGGAGGAGGAAGAGGGGGAGGAGGAGAGGGAGAGTAGGAGGAGGAGGAGGAGGAGGGGAGGAGGGAGAGGATGAGGAAGAGGAGGTGGAGGAGGAGGAGGAGAAAGGACAGGAGGAGGGAGGAGGCGGGAGGAGGAGGAGGAGGAGGAGGAGGACGAAGAGGAGGGGGGGGAAGCGGCGGCGGAGGCGGAGGAGGAGGATACTGAGGATGATGAGGAGGATGAGGATGAGGATGGTGATGCTGATGATGATGATGAGGAGGACGAGGAGGAAGGGGGAAGAGGAGGAGGAGGAGGAGGAGCAGGATGAGGGTAGGAGGTGGAGGACGTGGAGGAAAAGGCGGAGGAGGGCGATGCTGAGGAGGAGGGGGAGGAGGAGGAGGAGGGGACGGAGGAGGAGGAGGAGGAGGAGGAGGATGAACATGATGATGAGGAGGAGGAGGACGATGATGAGGAACAGGTGGAGGAGGAGGACGATGAGGAATCATACGACTGACATTCCACGGGCACGATCACTAATACTGATACTACTAATACTAACGGCACGATTGCTACTATTAACAGTGCTGCGATGCCTCCTGCTAATTTTGACGCATGCCAGCCAGACTAAGCATGCACGTACTATTACGAGCCCTAGCAATACTATCACTATCAAGAACCATGTGACTGCTACTACTGTTAAACAGACGACTGCTAGCAATACTACGATGACACATACCAACACTACGAACACAGACTAACCATACGACGGTCAGCACTACTAGAACGAACAGTGCTACGACTAGCCGTAACACAACTACTACTACTAATCATGACAAGGCGACTCCTGGTCCTACTAGTACTGCTGCTGCTATTATTACTGTTACTGCTACTCCTACTACTACTACTACTACTACTGCTGCTACTGCTACTGCTACTGCTACTGCTGCTGTTGCTGCTGCGACTACTACAGCTACTACTGCTACTACTACTACTACTACTACTACTACTACTACTGCTACTACTACTACTACTACTACTACTACTACTACTACTGTTGCTACGACTACTACTTCAACGGTTACGGCGACTATTACTGCTACTACTACTACTACTGCTGCTGCTACTACGACTACTACTACTACTACTACTACTACTACCACTACTACTACTACTACTACTGCTGCTACTACTACTACTACTACCACTACCACTACTACAATTACTGCTGCGACTACTACTACTACTACTACTACTACTACTACTACTACGGCTACTACTACTACTACTACTACGACTACTACTACTACTGCTGCTGCTACTACTACTACTTCTTATTACTACGACTACTATTATTATTACTACTACTACTACTGCTACTGCTACTACTACTACTACTACTACTACTACTGCTACTGCTACTACTACTACTACTACTACTACTACTACTACTACTACGATCACTAGTAGTACTACTACTGATACTACTACTGCTACGGCTACTTCTGCTGCTGCTGCTGCTACTACTACGACTACGACTACGACTACGACTACGACTACGACTACCACTACCACTACGACTACGACTACGACTACGACTACTACTACTACTACTACTACTACTACTACTACTACTATTACTACTAACGATAATAGTAATACTAATACTAATACTAATATTGATACTTATTCTAATCAGAAGACAAAGACGAAAACCAATGCGGATACGAATAAGCAGAAGAGGCGGCGGAGGAGGAGGTGGAGGAGGATGAGGCGGAGGAGGAGGATGAGGAGGAGGAGAAGGAGGAAGATGAGGAAGAGGAGGCGGGGGAGGAGGCGGAGGCGGAGGAGGAGGAAGAGGAGGAGCAGGAGGAAGAGGATGAGGAGCAGGAGGAGGAGGAGGAGTAGCAGAAGCAGGAGGAGGAGGAGGAGGAGGAGGAGGAGGAGGGATGAGGAGGAGGAGGAGTGAGGGGGGGGGGGGGGGAAGGAGGGGGATGAGGGGGAGGAGGGGGAGGAGGGGGAGGAGTGGGAGAAGGTGGGGATGAAGATGACGATGAAGGTGATGCTGCTGCTGCTGCTGATGATGATGATGCTGATGCTGATGCTGATGATGCCGATGATAATGATGCTGCTGATGATGATGCTGGTTTTGGTGATGATGAGGAGGAGGACGACGACGACGATGATGATGATGCTGCTGCTGATGATGCTGATGATGATGGTGATGATGATGAGGATGATGCTGATGCTGCTGCTGATGATGATGAGGATGATGAAGATGATGATGGTGGTGGTGATGATGATGATTATGGTGCTGATGATGAAGATGATGCTGTTGATGCTGATGATGCTGATGTTGAGATGATGATGATGATGATGATGATGATGATGCTGATGATGATGATGATGATGATGATGATGATGATGATGACGATGGTGATGATGCTGATGAGGAGAAGGATGATGATGAGGAGGAGGAGGACGACCTGTGCACGTTTGCGCCCGCAAGCTCAGAGAATCGTTCCCCGTTCTTGTCCGGAGAGGTTTTGGAAGATTGCCGTTTCGGTAGAGACATCCTCGGCACATCGGCTCTGGAGAGGACTACGAACCAGAATTATCTTGGAATCGCTCCTGGAGGTTTTCAAAGGACCGAAGAGAGCTCCCGAAGGCCCCACGGGGACCCCAGAAGCGCCCCGAGGGGCCAGTAGCCCCCAATGGGAGCCCGACGTGCCCCCAAGAGGCCCCTAGGATGCCCCAAGATAGCCCCAGACGGCCCCAACAGCCCCCAGGGTAGCCTCAAAAGATCACTAGGACCCCTTTTTTCTTCGACGTCCTTTTCGTCGTCGTCTTCGTCGTCTTCGTCGTCTTCGTCGTCGTCGTCGTCCTTCTTCTTTTCCTCCTCCGCTTCGTTTCTCCTAGTACTCGGCCTCCTCCATCTCTTTCTCCTCGTCCTCGTGCTTGTCTTCCTACTCATTGTTCTTCTGCTCCCCTCCTTGCCCTCCTCGTCATCCACGCTGCCATCCTCGACATCCGCCGCCTTGTCGTCGTCATCATCCTTGTCTTTTTTCCCCCTACGAGCCCAATGGACAAAATCGGCGCTTCCCGTTCTTGTCCGATCAAGTTTCCTTTTGTCGACTTTTCGTTTCGGATGACTAACTTCTGTTGACCTCCTCACTGGCCGACGCTGCTTTTTCACATTCTCACAGTGCACCTCGACGCTCGTACCTTTTTTCCTGCCCGGCGACGTGGACATGGAGGCAAAGACCAGAGTCGAGAGGCAGTGCGAGGAGCACGAGCACGGGGGGGACACCGAGGCCCTCTCCGAGCTGGCCTCTACGGCTCCCCCGCGCTTCCTCGGCGCCCCCGCGGACATGCCCGCGGGGCTGGCGCCCGCGCCCGCGCGTGCCTTCCCTCTCGGGCAGCCCCCGCCGTTCCGCCGACGAGCGCGATGGAGCGGGGCGCGCACATCGGCTCGGCGTAGGCCGGTCTGGAGGATCCCGCTCGCGGCCCGAGCGTCGGGGCAGCCGCGGCGGCACCTGCACGCCAGCGTCGGCGACAGGGCGGCCCTGGCGTGCGAGCCTGTGGCTGGCGCGTGCGATCCGACGCGTCGACGAGTTCGCGAAGCCTTAAGCCGAGCAGTGCGACGCGGTAGCTGTGTTTGTTTCGCCGATCGGCGCGGGCTCCCGCTCACCCCCTCTTGCTCCCCCAACGGACGAGATCTTGGCTGCTTGGGGTGGCTGCTCTTGGCGGCTGCTTCTGGCGACTGGACAGGGTTCCCCCTCCCAGCCTGCTGCAGATCGACGAAGGCCCAGGCCCAGGCCCAGACCCCCCACCGCCTCCTCCTCCTCCTCCTCCTCCTCCTCCTCCTCCTCCTCCTCCTCCTCCACTTGCCATGCGTGGAGGAGCCGGCGTCCCCCGATCGCCCGTTCCCGTGCGGTCCACGCCCCCTCGTGCACGCCGACGCCTGACGCCGAAGACGAGCGAGGAGGCCGAGGAGATGAAGGGTAAGGAGGCAGATCGCAACGGCGCAGCCCGCCGCAGCTTCGGCCGCGACGGTCCGCTTGTCGGCACGGGCACAACAAAAACAACAGCGACGACAGCAGCAGCAGCAGCAGCAGCAGCAGCAGCAGCAGCAGCAGCAGCAGCAGCAGTAGCAGCAGCATGAGCATGAGCAGCAGCAGCATGAACATGAGCATGAACATGAGCATGAGCAGCAGCAGCAGCAGCAGCAGCAGCAGCAGCAGCAGCAGCAGCAGCGACACGGCCGTTTCAAGACGGCCCGCTCTCCCCTCGCCGTCGTCGGCGCCGCATCCCTTCCCGAAGGGTAAGGAGGAGCTCGCCGCAGAGTCCGCCACTGCTTCCCGCAGCCTCCCCGTCGCCCTCAGGGAGGGCCGGGTGGCGCCGCGGGCACTCCGCCGCGCGCCCGGCGAGCCCCCAAGGCTGGCCACGTCGCGGCTTCCCGATTCACGTCCCGATTTATCCTCCCTCCCCCTTTCCTCCTCTTCCTCCTCCTCCTCCTCCTCCTCCTCCTTCTCTTGCTCCTCCTCCTCCTCCTCCTCCTCCTCCTCCCCTCCCTGCTTCCTCCTCCTCTTCCTTCTCCTCCTCCTGCCTCCCCCCCTTCCCTCGAGAGCGGCCGCCTCTTGGCCCCTGCCGCCGTGGAGCGAGCGAGCCAGCCTCCCTCCTCTTGCCTCTCTGAGTGCCCCGCCTCTCCTCTTGCCCCGGCCCTCCGCGGAGCCGGGGGTTTGCAGAGAGGTCCGCATCGTGCCTGCGCTGCTTTTGGCGGCTGCTCGGCGGCGGCCGCCCCGGCTCTGCTCCTCCTGCCCGTGCACCTCTGGCGTGCACGGCGTCTTCTTCTGCTTGCGAGGGCCCTGAGATCTTGGCGACTCAATTTTTTCGGGCCGGACGTCTGCGCCCCACTTCGGGCCCCGGGACTCTCGCATATCGGTGGGGCTCGAAGAATGACCCAGAAGTATGGGGTCCAGGTGTCCGGTCGTGATTTTTTGGCAAGGCTGCATAGAGGCGGCCCAGATTAGTAGGTCGACCCTGCCAGATCAAGGGCACCCTCGTGTCCTGTGTCTCGCGTCCCCTCGCGTGTCCCCTCCAATCAAGTCTGACTGTATCTGGGGTGGACAGACCTCCTACCCTGACACGTCGATTCAGGAATTGGCCGATTTCGGTTCGCGAGAGGGCGTCGGGTCCAGCTCCGAAGGTTTCGGTCCCAGGACGCTTTCGCTAAGGGGAGGTCTACTACAGGCAGGCTTGCCCACCGCCTACTGCAGGTTTGTTTGCACCGTCGGATCTCAGGGCGCTGCACGGTTTCGATAGGGGGCCACATGCGAACCCTACCCCTACCCCCCACGATTTCTGAGGGGGAGGGTGGGGTTCACTCCGCTCGGGAGGCCCCAACTGAAGTGAACCCCACCCTCCCCCTCAGAAATCGTGGGGGGTAGGGGTAGGGTTCGCCTGTGGCCCCCTACTGGACCCCCTCCCTGGGGCCGGCTTGTCCTCCTGGGTCGTTGCTCGACGTCCCCGAGGCCCGGGAAGGGCCTCCAGAGGCCGACAATGGCGAAAAACCTCCCGTGGGAGGTAGGGGGTAGGGTTCGCATCTGGCCCCCTGTTCGACTCCCCGGCCGCTGCGCGCCGGAGCTCGCGCCGCGTGGCCCGCGGGGCCCACGGGGCCGGGAGGCCCAGCCTGCCCTCGGCGGGCCGCCTCCGGAGGAGGTGGCGCGGCTCGGCCCTGCGCCCCTGGGGCCTCCTCCTCCTTCCTTCCTCCTCCTCCCTCCCTCCTCCTCCTCTCATCCTCCTCCTCCTCCTCCTCCTCCTCCTCCTCCTCCCCCTCCTCCTCCTCCTCCTCCATCCTTCCTCCCCTCCCCCCCCCCCTCCTCCTCCTCCTCCTCCTCCTCCTCCTCCTCCCCCTCCTCCGCCGCCTCCTCCTCCTCCTCCTCCTCCTCCTCGGTCTCGGTCTCGGCCCCGGCAGCCCAGGAGGTCCGCCTCGAGAAGCCCCGGCAGTTCCTCTTCACCCTCTGCCTCAACTGGAAGGCCGGCCCGCGGTCCCCGCGGTCCCCGCGGCACTCGGGTCGCCTGCCTTCTTGCGGCGCACTGGGCTCAGACCTTCGACCTTTGTGTCGTCGTCGTCGTCGTCGTCGTCGTCGTCGTCGTCGTCGTCGTCGTCGTCGTCGTCATTGTTGTTGTTGTTGTTGTTGTTGTTGTTGTTGTTGTTGTTGTTGTTGTTGTTGTTGTTGTTGTTGTTGTTGTTGTTGTTGAACATTATTACTTCTAAAGAATAATTATTGTTGGGACCCCTGGTGCATGGCCCCCTCGCCGCGCCTAGGCCGCAGCCTCATTTTCATCATTTTCGTGAGGAAGTCTCAGGCAAAACGGGGGTCCGGATCCGGTTGTTTTGTTACGATCCCGCTTTCCCTTGCAAAAAATAAGCTAAAGTGGACATTTCTTGTTCTAACATAACCAAACTTCAAGAATCCCTTGCAAAAAATAAGGTAAAGTGGACATTCGCGCGCGCAAGACGAAATCCTTCCAAAACCTTAGTGTTCGTAGCGATTTTAACATAAAAACATCAAACAACCAATGGTTTTTCAAAAAAAAAATGTCAAATTTCATCCCGCGCGCTCTTGCGGATTCGTAGGAAACCCAACACTTTTTAAACATTTCTGTCAAACGGGCTTTTGCGAGCAACTTTTTCAAACTTCTGCAACAACGGTTGCGCACCTGCCAGGGCCATCATCCCTGTCAAATAATACCATGCGGGACACATTCGTTTTTTCTTCGCGCGCGCACGCCGTCGTCGTCGGCCGCGGGGCCCTGAATAGTAGCCACGGTCGTCCGCATGCCACGAAGTGAAGTGTCCGAACGTCATAGGGCGGGAAGCTGGGTGTGGGTGGTGGCGAAGAGTCGTTTGGAAATTTGGTAGAGCTTGAACCGGCCCCCCCACAAAGTGGGGGTATTGCCCGCCTCCTATGAAAACCCTGGCACTGGTGAGAACGGAGTGTCCCCACGTGCTAGTAATTGTTGTTGTTGTTGTTGTTGTTGTTGTTGTTGTTGTTGTTGTTGTTGTTGTTGTTGTTGTTGTTGTTGTTGTTGTTGAACATTATTTATTCTAAAGAATAATTATTGTTGGGCCCCCTGGTGCGCGCCCCCCCTGCGCCGCCTAGGCCGCAGCTACATTTTCATCATTTTCGTGAGGAAGCCTCAGGTAAAACGATGTGATCCAGATCCGGTTGTTTTGTTGTAATCCGCTTTCCCTTGCAAAAAACACTATAAAATGACATTTCTTGTTCTAATATAATCAAATTTCAAGAATCCCTTGCAAAAAATAAGGTAAAGTGGACATTCGCGCGCGCAAGACGAAATCCTTCCAAAAGCTTAGTGTTCGGAACGATTTTAACATAAAAACATCAAAAAACCAATGGTTTTTCAACAAAAAAATGTCAAAATCTCATCCCGCGCGCTCTTGCGGATTCGTAGGAAACCCAACACTTTTTAAACATTTCTGTCAAACGGGCTTTTGCGAGCAACTTTTTCGAACTTCTGCGACAACGGTTGCGCACCTGCCAGGGCCATCATCCCTGTCAAATAATACCATGCGGGACAGATTCGTTTTTTCTTCGCGCGCGCACGCCGAAATCTCCAAAAACCATTGGGTTCTTAAGAATTTTACCACCGCGCATCATAAAATCACACGAATCGCACCGTAGGTCCTCGAATCACACGAATCGCACCGTAGGTCCTCGTGCACACTATCAAATGTAACAGAGTTGTGTATTCCCATCATCCCAGGAACTTGACCCAAAAATGTGACCAACTCCGCTCTCTCTGTCTCTCTCTCTGTCTGCTCTCTGTCTCTCTCTCTGTCTCTCTGTATTATGTATTGTATGGCACAATTGCACCATGCTGGGCACATGCGCGCCCCGAATAAGTGACCAAGTTCTGTGGGTGTGTACCCCACGCCAGTGTAGTAGCCACGGTCGTCCGCACGCCACGAAGTGAAGTGTCCCAACGTCATAGGGCGGGAAGCTGGGTTTGGGTGGTCGCGAAGAGTCGTTTGGATATTTGGTAGAGCTTGTAATGCCCCCCCACGAAGTGGGGGTATTGCCTGGTGTCGTATGAAAACCCTGGCACTGGTGAGAACACCACGCGTTCGGGTAAAATGATTGTTGTTGTTGTTGTTGTTGTTGTTGTTGAACTCTCATTCTTGAAGAATAATTATTGTTGATCCCCCCCACCGGTGCACATTGATTTTTTTCGATTGAAGTGCCACCCCCGGGGCTCGCACCTTGTTTTTTCTCAAGGAAAGTCTTCCTGCTCAAACTGTGCCCCTGCCCCCCGGGCTACAACAACAACGGCTCCCGCCTGAGACTTTCTCGATTTTTACTCAGGACCCCCGCTCCCGCCTGAGACTTCCGCGCAATTTACTCAGGAAAGGCGCTCCCGTCTGAGACTTCCTCGCAATGTAATCAAGACCCCCGCTCCCGCCTGAGACTTCCGTGCGATTTACGTGGGAACGGCGCTCCCGCCTGAGACTTCTTCGAATTTTACTAAGGACCCCCGCTCCTGCCTGACATTTCCGCGCAATTGACTCAGGAACGGCGCTCCCGCCTGAGACTTCCTCGCAATTTAGTGAGGACCCCCGCTCCCGCCTGAGACTTCCGTGCAATTTGCTCAGGAACGGCGCTCCCGCTTGAGACTTCCTCGCAACTTAGTCAGGGCCCCCGCTTCCGCCCGAGATTTCCTCACAATGTACTCAGGACTGCGCTCTCGCGTGCGACGTCCTCACAAATTATTCTGGAATTGCGTTTCGGCGCTCAGGAACCACGCGCGCGCCAAGGACGCCTTCACAACGTGGTATCTTCCCTCTTCCTTCGTCCTTCCCCCTCCCCTTCCTCCCACTCTCCCTCGTTCTTCCCCTCCTCCTCTTGCAGGGCCCGCGCCAATTCCAATGGCGGGCAGAGAGATGTACGCCCCCGAAGGATTGTGCCCGTTCCGGTTTGCCCGTACGTCTAAGCCCGCCGGCCCCAGCAAAGAGAAATAATCCCCCCGAAAGTGGTGTGATAGAAGACGAAGAGGGCGGGCATCGCGGGTGTAGGGTATACGTGTTGAATGACTCGCGGGCAAGTAAGAGCGTACAGCCTTAAAATGGTTGTTGTTGTTGTTGTTGGTGGTGGTGGTGATGGTTTTGTTGTTGTTGTTGGTGATGTAGTTGTTGTTGTTGTCGTTGTTGTTGTTGCTGCTGCTGCCGCTGCTGCTGCTGCTGCTGTTGCTGTTGCTGTTGTTGTTGCTGTTGTTGTTGTTGTTGTTGCTGCTGCTGCTGTTGTTGTTTTTGTTGTTGTTGTTGATGTTGTTGTTATTGTTGTTGCTGTTGGTGTTGTTGTTGTTGTTGTAGTTGCCGTTGTTGTTGTTGTTGTTGTTGAACATTATTAATTCTAAAGAATAATTATTGTTGGGACCCCTGGTGCACGGCCCCCCTGCGCCGCCTAGGCCGCAGCTACATTTTCATCATTTTCGTGAGGAAGCCTCAGGTAATTCGATGTGATCAAGATCCGGTTGTTTTGTTCCCCCCCGCTTTCCCTTGCAAAAAACACTATAAAATGACATTTCTTGTTCTAATATAATCAAATTTCAAGAATCCCTTGCAAAAAATAAGGTAAAGTGGACATTCGCGCGCGCAAGACGAAATCCTTCCAAAAGCTTAGTGTTCGGAGCGATTTTAACATAAAAACATCAAAAAACCAATGGTTTTTCAACAAAAAAATGTCAAAATCTCATCCCGCGCGCTCTTGCGGATTCGTAGGAAACCCAACACTTTTTAAACATTTCTGTCAAACGGGCTTTTGCGAGCAACTTTTTCGAACTTCTGCGACAACGGTTGCGCACCTGCCAGGGCCATCATCCCTGTCAAATAATACCATGCGGGACACATTCGTTTTTTCTTCGCGCGCGCACGCCGTCGTCGTCGGCCGCGGGGCCCTGAATAGTAGCCACGGTCGTCCGCATGCCACGAAGTGAAGTGTCCGAACGTCATAGGGCGGGAAGCTGGGTGTGGGTGGTGGCGAAGAGTCGTGTGGATATTTGGTAGAGCTTGCACTGGCCCCCCACAAAGTGGGGGTATTGGCTGGCGTCGCATGAAAACCCTGGCACTGGTGAGAACACTGAGCGTTCGGGTAAAGTGATTGTTGTTGTTGTTGTTGTTGTTGTTGTTGTTGTTGTTGTTGTTGTTGTTATTGGTGTTGATGCTGTTGTTGTTGTTGTTGTTGGTGGTGGTGGTGGTGGTGTTTGTATTGTTGTCGTTGCTGCTGTTGCTGTTGTTGCTGTTGCTGTTGCTGTTGCTGTTGTTGTTGCTGTTGTTGTTGCTGTTGTTGTTGCTGCTGCTGGTGTTGGTGTTGGTGTTGCTGTTGCTGTTGCTGTTGCTGTTGCTGTTGTGTGTGTGTGTGTATATTGGTTGTCTTTTTTTCCAGCCCTCCTGTGCTGGTTCTCGTTTTTAATCGCAATGTGGTCGCGTCTCTCGTCCTCCTCCCCGCTTCTCTCCTGCCTCCTATCTCCTCTCTCTTGCCCTCTGGCTCTCTCGTGGGCTCCTGGGAGAGGGAACTTGTGTGAAATTGTCGCCATCCTCGTGGGCTCCTGAGAGGTCGCGCGGAGTGGAGATGTACAGGGGGCCAGTTGAGTCCTCGCTGCTCCCCGGGGGGCTGCGAAGTGTGAAAGTGTCGCCACTTTCGTGGGCTCCTGGGAGGTCGCGCGGAGTGGAGTGGTACGGCGACCCATTTGAGATCTTGCGGTTCCCTGGGAGGCTGCGAAGTGTGAAACCGTCGCCACTTTCGTTGGCTCCTGAGAGGTCGCGCGGAGTGGAGTTGTACGGCGACCCAGTTGAGACGTCGCGGCTCCCTGGGGAGCTGCGAAATGTGAAACCGTCGCCCCTTTCGTTGGCTCCTGGGAGGTCGTGCGGTGTGGAGTGGTACGGGGGTCCCATCGAGCCCTCGCGGCTCCCTGGGGGGCTGCGAAGTGTGAAACCGTCGCCCCTTTCGTTGGTTCCTGGGAGGTCGTGCGGTGTGGAGTGGTACGGGGATGCCTTCGAGACCTCGCGGCTCCCTGGGGGGCTGCGAAGTGTGAAACCGTCGCCGCTTTCGTGGGTTCCCGGGAGTGGAACTGCGACCCAGTTGAGACGTCGCGGCTCCCTGGGGGGCTGCGAAGCGTGCAACTGTGTAATGCGAGTCCTTCGACATGTTTGTTTTTAGTGACTGTGAGCTGTCAAGACTTTGCCCGCCCTTTGTTTAGGAAGGGTTGGGTTCGTCACCGGGTGCTTTCGTCGTTGCCGTTTTTCGGTCCGGCGTTTTCCCAGAGTTCGGCCCCCGGGGTCGTTGTCCAAGGGCGCCCTCGAGGGCGCGAAGCTGCTCGCGCTCTGCGCCTCGCGCTTCAGCTCCGATTCCTCCTCCTCCTCCTCCTCCTCCTCCTCCTCCTCCTCCTCCTCTCCCCTGGGGGACGGCGCGAGAGCGCGAAGTCGTTCGCGCTTCGAGCTTCGCGCTTCGCGCAGCGTGACGCGCGAAGCTGGGCGCCCTTGTTGCCATGCTGGGTGGACATCATGGCGGGGGCCACGATATCTGCTCGAGCTTCACGGCCCCCCTTTCGTCTCGGAGGGCGTCCCCTGCCCCCCGTCCGAGCACATGCCTCGGGCACTGATTTGCGAGCCCGCCTCTCGGACGCCCCCCCTCTTCTGCACGCCCCCAACACGCGTCGAAAAAGTTGAAGCACCAGACGCCTGGTTTCAGCATCTCGGGCGGGCGGTAATGGGGGGTGACTGAAACTGGGGTGTGCGGGAAAGGGCCCGACTGGGGCCCTGCAGGGCCCCTTGAGGGCCCTTGTCTTCACCTCCCACTTCTCGAAGAAGCAAAATGGCATCAACATAAACTCGGATTTCTTGGATCTGCGCTGGGCCCCCTCGGGCGGCGCCTCCAGCGCCGCCCCTGGCGCGCTTCGCGCGCTAGGGAAGTGGGTCCAAGAAATCCGCGCGGAGCGCCGAAAGTTTATGTTTATGTTTTGTGAGATTCGTAATATTTCATGTAGGCCACCTCGCGTAACCACCCGCCCGAGCATCCTAGGACTCCAGGGGCTTTCAGAGGCCACTTTGGGGAGGCCCGGAAGCCTCCGTGGGGCCCTCGCCGGGCCTCGGGAGCGTCAAAAAACGATCCAGGGCGAATAGCAGGCCTTGGGGCAGTGGTCCGGACTTCTGAGGCCCACGCATCGAACAACCGGATGTCTCTGCGCATCTGAAACTGAGTGGTTGCTTTTTTGGTCTCTTCTGCAATCCTCAGACCTCAGGGAATCTCTCACAGGGGGATGAAATTCCGCAACCCCGTGACCCCGCAACCCTATGTCATCTTGAGTCTCTCTCAGGCGAATAGAATCCCGCAGCCCAGCGACCCCGCAACACTGTGCCATCTCGATTCTTTCCCAGGAAAAAAGAATCCCGCAACACCGCGATCCCGCGACCCTGTGGCCTCTCGGGTCTCTCCCATAACGGGGAATCCCGCAATCCCGCGACCCCGCAACCCTGTGTCATCTCGACTCTCTCCCAGGGGGGCACAACCCCGCAACCCTGCGACCCTGTGGCCTCTCGACTCTCTCCCTGGAGGGCAGAATCCCGCAACCCCGCGACCCCGCGACCCTGTGGTCTCTCGAATTTACCAGGGGGGCAGAATCCGAGGTTGCGGGGTTGCGGGGTCGCGGGGTTGCGGGGTTGGGGGGTTGCGAGGTCGCGGCGTTGCGGGGTTGCGGGGTCGAGGGGTTGCGGGGTTGGGGGGTTGCGAGGTCGTAGGGTTTGCGGGGTTGCGGGGTCGCGGGGTTGCAGAACGTTGGGTTGCAAGGTCACAGGGTTGCGGGGTTGCGGGGTTGTGAGGTTGCGGGGTCGCGGGGTTGCGGGGTTGCGAGGTCTCAGGGTTGCGGGGTCGCGGGGTCGCGGGGTTGCGGAGTTGTAGGGTTGCATGGTCACAGGGTTGCGGGGTTGCGGGGTTGCAGGGTCGCGGGGTTGCGGGGTTGGGGGGGGTGCGAGGTCGCGGGGTTGCGGGCTCGCGGGGTCGCGGGGTTGCGGAGTCGTAGGGCAACAAGGTCACAGGGTTGCGGTGAGAAAATCAACTGGGATGTCTGGGCATAGCTACCCGCCCGAGCATTCTGAGACTCCAGGGGCCCCCAGAGAGGCCACCTGGGGGGAGGCCTGTTAAGCCTCCCGCGGGGCCGTCGCTGGGCTTCCTATCGACGAGGGTTTTTTCTGAGCTGCCTGCCTCCTTTCGTCCGCTCTGCGGGCGAGCGCCCCCGTCAATCCTCCTCCTCCTCCTCCTCCTCATCCTCCTCCCCCCCTTCCTCTGCCCTCTCCTCCTCCTCCTCCTCCTTCGCCTTCGCCGGCGGCGCGCCCAGACAGAGGGGCGGGCCTTCCCAGAAGGCTCGGAGGGCCGCCGGCCTGCTGGGCTTCTCAGACGACGACGACGACGACGACGACGACGACGACGACGACGACGACGACGACGACGACGACGACGACGACGACGACGACGACGACGAACACGCCGACGACGAACACGCCGACGCCGACGCCGACGTCGACGCCGCCGCCGCCGACGACGACGACGACGACGACGACGACCGCGGCGGCCGCCGCCGACGGCCGCCGCCGCCGACGACGGCTCGCCGCCGCGAGGGCGAGCGGCCTACAGAGAAGCCCCGCCCGCCTGCTGAGAAGGCCTGCGGAGTTTTGAGTTGGAGCTGAAGTTGAAGCTGAATCCGAATCGGGGCCCAAGTGGGGCCCATGGTCCAACTGGGGCCCAAGTGGGGCCCAAGCGGTGCTGGAGCTGGAGCTGGAGCTGGAGCTGAAGCCCGAGCCGAATCCAAGCGGGGCCCGGACCGAATCCAAGTGGGGCCCAAGTGTCGGGCCCCACTCGGGCCCCACTTGGATTCGGCTCGGGCCCCACTTGGATTTGGCTCGAGCCCCACTTGGGCCCCACTTGGATGCGGCTGGGCCCCACTTGGGTTGGGCTCGGGCCCACTTGGGCCCCACTTGGATTTGGCTCGGGCCCCACTTGGATTTGGCTCGGGCCCCACTTGGATTCGGCTGGGCCCCGCTTGGGTTGGGCTCGGGCCCCACTTGGGCCCCACTTGGATTCGGCTCGGGCCGCGCTTGGATTTGGCTCGGGCCCCACTTGGGCCTCACGAGGCGGATTAAGGACCGACCGGAGATGCGCGCACCATCTTTGTCAGCGCAGCCTCCGTGCACATTACATTCTCATACGCAGCACGTCGCGCAATCGTGCACGGTCGCATGCATTCATGCATACCGAGCCCCTGGGCCAGACCCTGGACATTTCTTAATGAGATTTAAGAAACCAGCCGGCGCGAGACCATTAATTTCTTAACCCATGACTTCTTGACCATTTCGCAAGGCCTAACCCCTCTCACTTGCTCCTCCAGGAG